CAGGATCAGGCCGTGTTTTGTTAATCCGGTCGCTGAATCAGAACCAACTTAACACCTAAGAGTCCCGGATTCTATAGGAGCCCTGGTGGGGCTGAATTCTGAATTGGGGATGTAGACAGGCGTGTGATCTGCCTCACCGTGTTGGCTGGTATCCTCAGTACAATGTTGAATCGAAATGTGGGCATCCATGTCCTATTTCCATTCACGGGTCCCTGGGTGGTGCCAGTGGTTAATGTGCTTGGCTTCTAACCAAAGGTTAGAAGGGTTTTCAATGGTTGATTTGTCACCAGGCCTTTCTTCAAGGTGTCTCTGGATGGACTCGAACCTCCCACCTTTGGGTTAGCAGCCAAGCACACTAATCACCGCACCACCCGGAGACTCCTGCCTACATCATAAACCCAGCACAAACCAAACCCCTTGCCAGGGAGTCGATTCTGACTCATGGTGACCCTATAGGACAGAGTAGAGGGTTTCCAAGGCTGTAATTTTCATGGAAGCAGACTGCTTCATCTTTCTTCCACAGAGCAGCTGGTAGGTTCGAACCACTGACCTTTTGGTTAACAGCCAAATGCCTTAACCATTACACCACCAGAGCTCCTTCCAGGGCTCTTTAGGTGGGGCCAAATGGAATCATGTATGTAAAAATGTTTGTGCATGGCACAAAATAAGTTATCAATGAATGGTCGTTTTTATGAAGGAGCCCTGGTCACACAATGGTTAAGCACTTGGGGTTTAACAGAGAAGTTGGTGGTTTGAACCCCCAGCTCCTGGGAGAAAAGACCTTGTGATCTGCTTCCATAGAGACGATGGCCTAGGGAACCCCGTGGGCAGTTAGTTCACTTGTGTCACAGGGGTCACTGTGAGTCGGAATCAACTCTAGTGTCACCCAACAACAGCAACACGTGTAAGCAAAGACGCACGCTCAGAGATGTCTGATTTCACCTGGTGCGTCGCTCAGAAGGACCACGCGTGTGGGGACTCGAACCAGAAGACATCTCACCAAGCACGGTACTCCTGACACGGGGCGCGGTTTTCAGAGATTCTCCACATGCGTCATTTCTCAGAGCGCGGCTTTGACCTTCAGTGGATCCTGAAAAGAAAACCCACTCCCCCCACCAGGTGTTACAGCTGCTTCGTTTCCTTTCTCCCGGTGTCTGCTTTGAAAAACCGCAGCACTAGTGCCATAACTTGTTGGTGTCTCCTCAATGGAACAAGATCTTTATTTACTTCCCTTTCAGGTTTGTGAAAGTCCCAATTTCTAGACTCTAGGGGCGCTGTGAGTACCGTTCCACTTGGGCAAAGTCAGGAAGTTAGGAACTGCTCCCCCAAGATCAAGAGTCATCAAGAGGAAACTCACCAACAAGGGGTGCTTGGGACCTTGTTTTTTCCTTCTCTTGCCTAAACAGCAGTTTCTCTGCCTTGCAGAAATGTGTCTTGCCCTTGAATTTGAAGATCTAGCCACAGCACTTACCCTTGGCAACTGATGAGAACCAATTCCCCACAAAGCACGGCTCCGCGTTAGCGCTCTAGGGCTGCTGTAACACACATACCACGAGGAGGCGGCTTTAACAGACAGGAAATTATTTCTCACTGTTTAGGAGGCTTGTTATTGTTGTTATGTGGCGTGGAGTCGGACCCGACTCATAGCGACCCCTCCTTGGGTTTCCAAGGCAGTATCTCTACGGAAGTAGATTGATTGCCCCATCTTCCTTCCAAGGAGTGGTTGGTGGGTTTGAACTGCCAGCCTTCTGGTTAGCAGTCCAGTGCCTCAGGGTGCCAGATCCAGGGGGCCTTCCTTCTCTCTGTCGGCTCTGGGGAAGGGTCTGTCTCATCAACTGCTGTTTGTTGGCTTCTTGGTGATTTTCCTGTGGCATTTACCCCATCTCTGCTGGCCTGCTTCTTGCTTGATCTGCTCTTTATATGTCAAAGGAGATTGATTTAAGACTCGCTATGCTAATACTGTTCATTAACATAACAAAACCCACTCCCAAACAGGATTATAACTACTGTACCAAAAAAACTAGCTACTGTAGAGTCCATTCCGACTCACAGCGCCCCTAGAGGACAGAGTGGAACTGCCCCACAGGGTCTGCAAGGCTGTCAATCTTCACAGAAGCAAAGCCCAAACCACACCCACTGCCCTGGAGTCCATTCTGACTCACAGCGCCCCTAGAGGACAGAGTGGAACTGCCCACAGGGTCTGCAAGGCTGTCAGTCTTCACAGAAGACTGCCACATCTTTTCCTGCCGAGCGGCTGGTGGATTCAAATCACTGATGTTTCAGTTAACAGCCAAGCTCTTTAAACACAGCACCAGCAGGGTGCCTATCACCACTACAAAAAAAAAAAAACCCACTGCCATTGAGTCCATTCCGATTCATAGCGACCTCCATTGGGTTTCCAAGGCAGTAAATCTTTACGGAAGTAGACTGCCCAGTCTTTCGTGGAGTGACTGGCGGGCTTGAACTGCCAAACTTCTGGTTAGCGGTCAAATGCCTTAGGCACTACGCCACCAGAGCTCCCTAACACCACTGTAGGGGTTGGGGTTTACAACACATGTTTCAGGGGTACACGAGCCACTCTAGGACAGGCCCCTTTTCTCCCTCTGCCCAGATGTCTGGGATGGCCTCTGAGGTGCCAGGAGCTCCGAGCATCCTTGAGGCTCTCATGCTTGGCAGCTTCCCACCATCCCCCTGTCAAATGGCTCCTGCAATTTTCTTTGAAGGGCAGAGATTAAACAGGACCTGGAAGGTTTAGCCTCAGGACCTCCAGTTCTGTGTGTAAGGGGTTCAAAGGAAAGGAACGTCTTAAGGCAGCGTGATGGGGCTGGCTCTGCAGATAGTGTCGGCCTTGGATGAGGCAAGCCACCGAAGGGCCAAATCATTGAGCCAGCTGGCAACACCTGCCGAGGTACTGGAGATAAAGCACTCCGGGGGACCACAGCGGCCCCCATGCCCACGGCACCTCGGTTTTCAGGGGTGGGGAGCAGCGATAGAGGCTGGGAACAGGCCTAGTCCCCCCACCTCTGCGTCTCCCTTCAGGCTGCTGACAAGCTCCCCCAGCAGGGGGCTGCATAGTGGCCCGGGACCACTTACACGGGCTGCTTGGCCGGCTGGAGGGGGTTTATCAGCCCCAAACAAATACCCCCTCGCTGGCAGTTTAATGGCGTTCTGACACCGTGGCGAGTGGAGAGACAAGGGTCTTCTCCAGGAGAGAGAAGAAGAAACTGAGGAATGGCAGAGAGGAGCAGGGCTGGTTCTCTTCCCAAAACTGGAGGTGCTGTCAGATGCAAGTAATATGTCTTGAACGTTGTGATAAGATAGAAGAGAAAATTGCTCGGGACGCGTGCACAACAGCGGCGTCCGCGCATCGCTGGCTCCTGTCTTTTGCAGACTTTCTGGCTGATGGAGGAGAATAGACGAGGGGGTAAAAGTTGTCTTTGAAATACAATCTCTGAGCAAGTACCGTGGGACCATTGGCCTGTTTCTTAGGGCTTCATTTAGGCTTGAACAAGCACGCTGGTTTTTTTTTTGTTTTTTTTTTTGAGAGTCCACAAGAACCGCGGGGAGAAAACAAAACGTAGTAGCCGATTAGTGCGGTGTCGCTGCTTGTCCAGCCGCTCTGTCTTTTGTTAAGCCTTAGATGCGTTTTCCAAGCCACTTGGCTTCTCGGGCTTGTCTGTTCAATTAGTCTGGAACGATCTCATACACCAGCATTTCATTAGCGCCTGGCGCAGCTGCCCACGGAGGATGCACGCAGTCCACCCCTCTCTGGGGGCGCACGCCGTCAGTCCCTCTCTGGGGGTGCACGCCGTCTGCCCCTCTCTGCAGGTGCGCATGTTCCTATCTGAGGGTGCAGTGCCCACTTTAATGGGCAACTGTGACTAGAGCAAATCTGTCTCTTGCTGGAAGAAGAGGTCCCTGCGGAGCCT